TGATAAAATTCATGTCGTCTCTTCTTAACCATCTTCTTGATTTTCTTTATATCTGGAATTTCAAATTTTTCAAAAACATATTCATGAATTCAGATTTAAAAAAAAACAATCGTCCTAAACGTCAATCAAGTCATTGATTTTTATTTGCTATCGCACACATTCCGAAATCCACATAGAATTAATTAAAACTAAAGTTGAGAAAAATAAATGGAAAAAAATGAGTAATTATGACTAAGTTTCTTTAGTCATTGTTTTAATTATCAAATTATCAAAAGCAAAAATGTTTGACTAATAAATGGCTAAAGGAACTATTTATTCACTACGTTATATTCTACAAATTTTCAAATATGTCATTGTAAAATTCAGAAAATTATGACTAAACATCAAAATATTTGGAAGAAGCGATAAAACAAATGGAATATGATAAAAATAAGGAGTTGAGTCAGCAGAAAAAAAAAAATTTCCCTGATTCACGGTGACTAACTTTTCTGTCCTCTCTTTCACTTTTAAAATCTCGCCTTATTTCAGAACCTAGAAAAATTATTGGATTAAAACCTCGCTTCGATTTTTAAAATTTTAAATGATCATACGAGTCAGGAATTTCATAGTTATTTTCTTGGGTGGTCACTATGGTGGTTTTTGGTGGTCGAGGTGGTCGATGTCGTTTGTTAATGGTTGCAGTTCTGGAATTTTGACTGAAGTTTGGTCGGTAGTCATGGGATAAATTAAAACACGGGTCGATACGTCTCTGTCTAAGTTTATACCAAACAATGCCACCGATGATGATTATTACTAGAATGATGACAGTTGCACTGAGGCACCAGATTGTAATTTTGTCACCAGTCCAATATTTGATCGGACATCGATCACTGTCTAACCTAACTGAAAGCATTTCCAAATCCTTGCAAGTAAATTCGTTAGTTTTGTCAACACCCACAATTTTCAGGCGCGGGAACGAGTCTCTATTGAATTCTTCAAGCTTTTTCATCCGACAACTTTTGATCACAAGTGTTGTGAGTTGGTTCATTTCAGTGGCAAAAATCTTTGCGTTCAGCGTCATGATGGGATTTCCAGATAAATCCAGCGACTCCAATTCACATTGTGATGAAAATGTTCGCAGTGGGATTTCGGATAATTCTATGCGTGATAAATTCACATGCTTAAGCTTATCTAATTGCTTGAACATGCTTTCGTTTACGGTTTTCAGCATTTTATTCTGTGAGATATCCAAGTATTCAAGCTTCGAAAGACCATTAAATACATCACCCGACAATGTCTCGATTTTATTCTGTGATATGTCCAAAAACTTTAATCCAGTTAAATTTTCAAAAAAGCTTTTATCCAATGTCTTTAATCCAATGTTTGCCATATTCAATCGTTGCAACTTCGAGTTTCCTGGGAATATTTGACTGATTTTCGGGACGTACAATTTATTATTTGATAAAAACAGTTCCTCCAAGTTTACAAATTTTTCAAAGTTATTCAAATTTTCAATTTGGTTATCGTTTAAGCGAATGGATTTCACTTGATTTGGTTGCGTTACATTTATCATTTTCAACTTATTGTGTGATAGATCGATTTCCTGAAGTTTGCTGGCATTTTCAAAAAAATTATCGGGAATCTTATCGATTCGATTATGGCTCAAATTCAAAAATTGCAAATTTTCAGATATTTGCGACAAACAATCAGCGCGATGGCTTATTTGGTTGAAGGCAAGATTCAAAGTCGACACCTTTTCTTTATTTTCGAAGAATTCGCAAGCATTGATCACATTGTTTGACAAGTCGATTTGTCGAATGTCGTTTGGCAACTTCGGAATTGTCGATAATGAATTATGCGATGCGTACAGTTGGGCCAAACTGGCTACATTGTCCAAATCAGGTAGCTTTTCCAATGACATTTTCGTTATATTCAGTGTTTGAATCCTCCTATACACACCAAACAGATTCATCGGTAATTCCTTGCGTTTACAATCCCGAAAACTAACTTTTTCGACTTTTGCACGTTCAAAACCGATATTCAATCCATTCTCTGTTTTACAATTGCTATAATCGGTCTCATTGAAAAAATTGCAATCGTCATTCGATGCGCCCGAACACAAGAAAACCACCGATGAGTTCGAATAGCTACATGATTCGATGCTATTTAAATAAACCGATTCCATTTGCCAAATCACACAAACAAAAAGGAAAAACTTTACACTCATTTTGGTGCAGTGCGCAGTAAAAACGACCGAGAGAGTTACCAATTTTTTAAACTGTTCGAAAAACTTATGACTGTTGGACTGAGGGATTATTATTTTCAATTTTTAAACGTTGACGTGTTTCATATGCCGTGTTATTCATTCGACTGATATAGGCTTTCATGCGATTGCGCTGATTTCTTATTATTATAATTCATCAACAAATGAAATGCATGCGCTTGGCGTATCAGTCAAATCACAGACTTATGCTGTTGAATGTTCTTATGTTATAGCACAATATTTGCGTCAACATAAATGATTAATTGTTATGAATCACATTTTGTTCGCATTTTTTTCTTTGTTTTTTTTTCTGCTATTTTTAGTGTTGATATGCTATTCTGACGAAAATCATGCTTATCTGTCTTACAAATTTATGGATTAAAATAATGAGCCAGAAATACCAAAGAAATACAACAACAAAAAAACGGAGCAAGACGATGACCCAAACATTCAAGACAAATTATTAAATTATTTGCAATACAAGTCGCTATGAAATCCGACTTGGTTTTCACCATGCCAATTGTCACTGAGCGTCACCTCAAAAGTGGTGCGATTGAAAATGAATGTGCTGCGTCCATACATTTATTTTCCAGAGCATATTGTGAACTGAATTCATCAGCATGAGCTAAATTTATGCGATAAATTCATCAGATAAATAGTATGCGTTGCTGTATAAACTCAACGTGTTCAAAACGCACACCCACTACGCATGTTTGAGCAACCACAATCAGTGCATATTCACACAAATGTCATTTAATTTTCTAATAAAAAAGATTCATTGGGATATAGTTTAAAAGTTAGGTCTAATGAAAATTTAAGATTCATTACATTACAATACGTTTGGTTTCGATGGTGTTCGAACACGAATCATACAATCACTGCTGAGCTCATTATCCTTTGCTTTGTTTTATTTATGTGTGTGAGTTAGAAGAACAAATCGTTGCAACAATTTCGGTTGACGTACGAGCGGCCAATCATTTCGATGATATTGAGTGTATTGTGCATTTTCATAGAATGCTCGTTGAGCATTTGATTTGTATCAAGTTGGATGCAGAGGCCCAATTCATTGGCAATCACATTTTTTTAGTCAACCGTTCATAATATATAGGTAAATACAGCGTATTTGACCGATATATCTGTCACATAAAGTATATGAAGAGTGCCAAAAACTTAATAAATGACCCCTATACGGGCGGCCAGGCAGTATATACTTTACTCACTTCAAGGTAAGATTATCTTTTACTGTCATAATATTGAACAGAACAGTCACAATATTTGTTAAGAAAATGGTCAATTCGATTGTGGCCCGAATGATACATAAATGGGTTAAAAAAAATCTTAAGAATAAAACCGATTGTAATCAGCATAGTTTCGCTATTGTGTTTCACGAATGACGTGATAAAGAGAAGAAATGCCAATTTCGTTCATTTTATTGGAATAAACACTCTCTCACTCTTTTATGAGAAATGCGTGATGAGATGATGTATTTTTTTTATATTTTTGATTATCTCCAAAAACAAAAATTCCCCACTCCATCTTTCCTACTCTATTGATTTGTTTTTTTTTTTTGTATTTTGCAAACACCATCAATATTCGGTTCTTTTTTCAAGTGTATCCCATCACTTTGCTACGAATAAAATACTATCCATTTCTGATGAAATAATTAATAGCATTGTGTTGGAATTTTAAACTTGGTTATAAATGGTGTTCAACAGTTTCGCCGAGTGTGTTTAGTTTTGTCAATACGAATAAGGTTAAAAATCTCAGTTATTAAGACTGTTGTTTCTTGTTCGAAGTGTTTTTTGCGTGTACCTTGAATTATTCGCACGTTTAATGCGCTGTTATTACCATTCACCGTTAAAAATACACGTTTTTCCGATCAATATCGGCGTGATTTTATTGTTTCTTGTAATTGTTGGCTTATGCAATAACGCAATTTGTTACACAAATGAATCAATGCGGTGAAGTAGTCGGTCTCATTCAAAGTTTCAAGTGCTATTTCTCTCTTTCAATTTCAGCACTGACTGTTTGGAAGAAAAGAAAAAACAATATAACACATGAAGCAGTATTCCGCTATCGCTCAAATTGATTGAACATATTGAGTATAGTATCTGATCATAGAATTTATGTGCAGTTACAAGTATAAAAAAAGGTTGAGTTCATTTTTGCTTTTAATTGTTTTTAAACATTGAAGACGCAACAATTGCTGGACTAGCAATATTAGTATTATATCAACGGGAAAAGTAAACACCAGATCATATTATATTGAACGCATCCATTCACATTAAAACTTAATGCAATAAAAGTAAAATTCGTTCGTGCGAAATTTGTAAGTAATGAAAAAGTGCGCATAATACTGAATACACACGTACTAGCGGAAAGTGCTCGAAAGCGTCGAATACGAAAAAAAACTATTTTCCCTCCAAAGATTTTTTTCGTTATAGGAGAAATTGACTGAATTGCTGCCATTTTTCGATCATTTCTGTCGGTTTTAGTAACAAGCATCAATTTTTACATTCAAAAATGAAATGTTACGTTCGCATTTTTATGGTTTGCGCTCTGTTTGTCATTTCTATACATGGCGTAAGTGAGAGTTTAAATATATTTTATTACATAATGAATATCAATGTGTAGGTGTTGAAAATTCGAAACAAAAAAAAAACCATTGATCGTTTGGTTAAAAATCACTTATGTAGAATATTTTACATATGAACGCCAACACATTGACATAATCCATGAAATTGAGTTTGATTTTTGTGAATTTCGATTTGCCATCAACAGAAGATAAACCAACAGAAGCCGATCAAAGTAACTGTCATTGGTGCAACGGGTGGTGTAGGTCAACCGATGAGTTTGTTATTGAAAGAAAATACATTAATTTCGGAATTAGCATTGTGGGGTGATGCCCGAGGTGGTATCGGAAAAATACCAGGAATTGCAGCGGATTTGTCACATATCAGTACACCGGTTAAAGTTCTCGGTTACAGTGGGCCAGGCAATATATCGGCTGCACTTCAAAATGCTGATGTTGTTGTTATACCAGCTGGTGTTGCACGGAAAAAAGGTAAAAGTGTCATCATTTAGATCGCAACATTCCATTGAACAAATCGTTGAATATGCAAGATGAGTGTGTTTCTATTGATTTTCAGGCATGAGCCGTCAAGAATTGTTCAAAGCAAATGCTGAGATACTCCGTGACATAGCTGTGAAAATATCAACGGTATGTCCAAAGGCGTTGATAGCTATCATCACTAACCCAGTCAACTCGGGCGTTCCAGTGGTATCCGAAGTATTAAAAAAGCAGGGCACATATGATCCAAATCGCATTTTCGGTGTGACCACATTGGATATTGTTCGCGCACAAACATTCATTGGCGATGAAATGAATGTTAGTCCATTGGAGGTAAATGTTCCAGTGATCGGAGGTCATTCTGATGAGTCAATAATCCCAGTATTATCGCAAACCCATTTGAATTCAGTACCAAAAAAAGCTTTAACTTTACCAAAATTCGAAGAATTGACTAAACGCATTCAAGTGGCTGGTAGCGAGATCGTCACTGCTAAAAATGGTGATGGATCGGCCACATTGTCGACAGCATATGCCGCCACTCGTTTTGTCAATGCATTGGTTGAAGCATTGACGGGAGATCCAAATGTGTTCGAATACGCATATGTGCGCTCAAATGTTACAACCGCCAAATATTTTTCCACTCGCTTAAAACTGGGTAAAAATGGAATCGAAAAAATCTTTGGCATTCCAGAATTGAACGAGTTTGAGAAGAAACTTCTGCATGAAGCCATCCCCTTATTACAAAAAGACATTGAAGCTGGCGAAAAATACGTTAAGGAAGAACAGATAACAACGAAAAATTTACAATAAATTATTGAACTTCTTCAATCATTACAATTATACAGTAGAACATCGATTATCCGTCAGGCACCGGATCAGAGCCTTGACGGATAATCGAAAAAGACGGATAATCGAGATTTTCATAAAATAAGGCAAAATAATCAAAATTTCCATACTTTCTAATTAGTTTTTGATGAGAAACAAAGTGATGTAGAAAATATATAATAGATATGAGAACAGATTTGGTGAATTGTCCAATATATTGGACAATCTTGTATATACAAGAAGTGCACCGAAAACGCAAAGCCTCTGATTTCAAATCTTATTGTGCGAATGTACAAGCGGCACACAATTGATTTTTATTATGAAAGTTAGTTGGCAACTTTATTCGTATGTTCAAGTGAAATAAACTGAAAAATGAACTGAACAAAAACTTTTCCACCTTGAAAATGTATGACGGTTAACGGAGGTGACGGTTAATGGGAGGACGGATAATCGAGGTTCTACTGTATTTAACTTTGTTCAAGATAAACTCATTATCATTTGATCTTTTTATTATGCCACATTTAATAAAAAATCACCAAATTTAATAAAACTTGAATTGGAATGAAGAAAAACTCAATGCGTATTTTTTTCAATTGTAATGTTATACGAAAATTCAAAAACAAATGAATTCCCCACCGCATGGGATAATCTACATTCAGGCAATTGAGCTGCTCAACAGCCAAAATCTGCATTCAAATATTTGGAATACTCTGTAAGCACTATTCCCTGTGCGACTTTTTCTCAAACAACAAACATTAGAAACAATATCACATTCAACACCAACTGAACTCTCAAATGTCTACGATAAATAATGAACTTGAATAATAATAAGAACTAATCGATTTGAGACACTGAGCGTATTTACAGCGAGAATTTTTAGCCATAACATTTAAAAAGCGAAATATCGTCTGGGCGCGAAAAGTAAATGAAATTTGCCAATATATATTTCTGAACAAAAATACTTATTGGAAATTTGCGTGTGCATACGGAACAGTTGGAAATTTGACCTCTTGTTTCCTTAGCATTGTCATGTAATGATTTAATGTCATATATACATTGTCATGTATATTAAAATTAAATTTTATTCATAATAAACAATTAACAATACATTTTAACAAATTCATAGTTGGCATTCATTTATCGAGTCTTCTTATGATGCTGGAGCCACATCACACTGTGATAACGTAAACCACACGTTCAAAACAGAAAAAAGTAGCAGAAATGGAGAAACGGTAGAATAAATAAACTGTAGTTTACTTTGTCGCAATGGGATGGTAATTCATTACATGTCATTTGGATGGTTTTATAGATATGATCGACCAGTTCTAAGTCAGCCTATGATACGATTCAAAGAAAAGTAATCAAAAATTGCTCGAATTATTCCTGTTTAAAATATTATTACTTTTTCTAATTCTCCAGTCTCCTCCTCATAAAGATTGTCGAATTTCGCATAAATATGACTAAGGCATCTGTAAAAAAAACGTGTTTGCTTATTCATATGTACACTAATTTGAATAGTTTGAAGCGAAAATGTAATACAGAAAAGTTGCGCGAAAAAATGTCGATGATGAATGAGCGGAAAAGGGATAGCTATATAGTAAACTGTATAGTTAACTATAGTGAACTAAATTACTATCTCTTTTAATTTGACATTTTTCCACACAACTTTTCTGTATTACATTTTCGCTCCAAACTACTCATTTGATATACTTGATATATTGACGCGCACAGTAAGAAAAGTACGAATTCTGAATTTTTAAAAAGAAAGTTTAATACGTATGAATCTACAATATACCAGTCAAATGAAAAAAAATTGATTCAAAATATGTATGGATTTTATGAAACTAATTTATTTACGTGGAAAGTTCAAATGCATCAATTGACCAATCCTTTTCACAGCTTTCGACACCATTATTAAATTCTTCTGCATAACCATTCCAGTCTTCTTCAAATGAGGTTCCATTGAGATTGTCACCAAATTTACGAATCACGCATTTAAATTTTCTCAATATTCCATGCACATCAGTTATACCGATTGAGACGGACAGAACGAATTCCTTAAATGGGAATGAATAAAACGGTACAAGCAAATTTTATAACGATATTTTTAATGAACATCCGTTGTTACCGTTCCGCAGAGAACTGCAATGAAAAATATCACGAGGAGTTTCATTTAGAAGTACGGCACTTTAATAACTGTGTCTCGCTTTGATTCAAAAGCCTTTAAATAAAATCGTATATACGAAACAATCATACCCGATTTGGGTATTTTGACATACATGACTCTTAAATGAATTTGTCACACGACACAAATCGACTAATGAACTTGAATAAAACTAGAATTTAATTTATTCGATGCGTTACTCAAGTAGAAATTTAATGTTCATACACTTCAATTCCTTCTGAAGACATATTTCTGCTACTTGAACGCCCTTTAAGACTTTTATTACCGTAGCACACAAAACAACCATCAAATAGATCGCTTCATTTCGAACTACGTTTGTTTTACAACTGCTTTTCTCTTTGGTTCAAAAGCCTTCAAATAGCGTCGATTCATCAGGAACACGTCAGGAAACAAGTTTACTCTAGTTAAATCAATCAGCCACACTGCATAAATCGAATTTAATGAACTAGTGAAATTTACGTCATATGTGTGCGATGCAGGAGAGTTACGATTGTGACTAACTCTGGTGTTTACCAAATATACAAAATCGTACCGGCTCACATACAACTACTTCTGTTCTTAATAGGGAAATTGAATATAAAATTGGATTTAATAAAAGAATACTTCATTGAAGACGACTGTGCACGTCATTTATTTATTCAGCTGTTTACAATCCTTTGATCTAATGATAGTGACCTACAATAATGTTGCTATTTCTAAATCTTGATAATAGCTTTATGCCAGTACTCTTCCATCATGAGTGTATAAGTTCATGCGTTTGACGTGACATTGATAACGATTTTTCTCTGCTGAGCTTATGGTCTTTGAAATAATTGTGCATTTTTACGTATGGTTTGGCTGTTTTCGTAGTAATTGATTATCATAGTGTGTATTGGTTGAAATTGGCATTGGATTGAATTCATGTCGCAGGTGATCATAGGTGTCTCCCCTATCTGGAATTTCCTCATAAATATGTTCTTCAGATAATGTAGGCCGTGTAACAGTTTCGGAAGAAATGTCATTTCTAGCTGATAAGTCTGCCATTTCAATCGGTTCTTCTGTTCTATTTCCTGTATTTCTTTTCAGTGGTTCTTCGCTGTTTTTTCTGTGCCATAATCGTCTACCGAGAATTAATCCAAAACACACAACAATAAAAAGTGTTGATACACCGATTGTGACCAAGTATTGTGGCAGTTTTGATGATTCTATTTCTGGAATCTCGGTGGCGGTGACTGTATCGGTTACTGTACTTTCAGTTGAACTTTGAACAATGAGATGGCAATCTTCACCATGTTTTTGTTTCCACGGATCTCCAATGAGCTCTAAATTTGTCCATTCTCGTGTCAAATTTGGCACAAATGTTGCCAAATATTCGCATGAAAAGAGATTCAATGACATTGCTAATGAATTGATTCGGGGAAATCTTGTTTTGGACGCAAGGCCATCGATCTCACTCAAATCATTTCCTTCTAAATAAATTTTCTCCATGGTCTTTGGCAATAGCGAAAAGTTTACTTTTTCTAAATTATTAAATGAAACATTCAAATTTAATAGTTTCGTCTGGCCTTCAACTATGCTCAAATGCGACAGATGCGAATGAGCTAAATTCAGTTGGGTCAAATGAAGCTTGTTGAACAGGCTTGCGCTTGCATTACCAATAATGTTTTTTGACAAGTCCAATGTTGCAAGTGAAGATCCAAACAGCTGGATTAAATGCGATACATTTTGAATATGACAGTCGGCCGCATAAAAATGAGATATATGACTTAACGTTTCTGCTAAAACCGTAAAATTAACATTTTCCAAATGGTTACCAGAGAGGTCAAGTTTGATTAGCTCATCAAGCGACGAGAATGGGTTAAAATGGCCGAATGATAAACTCGTATTCTTCAAGAATAACCCTTCCAATGCGCTGAATTTGGCGAATGTAGTTGCATTCAGTGGCCCCACAAAATTTTCGGATAAATCAATCGAATCGATCGATGGTTTCAAATATCGGAGTATTTCGGGTATGTTATCGAGTTGATTGCCTAATACGTCAAATATTTCCAATTTGGTGAAATTTTGCAAAATGTGAACATTTTTCATAGTTTTTAAGTGATTCTTAGATAAATCAAGCCAACTTAATTTCGTGTGAAATTCAATTACATTCACATCAAAATCCGTCAAATGTGCGTCACTCAGAAATAATGCTTCTAAATTTTTGAATCTCCGAAGTGCATTTCCATCGATTTGCTTTATTATTGCACCAGACAAATCAAGCGTTAAAAGTTTTGATCCTAAACACAGTAACAAATCGTACAGATTTTCAACGGTGCTGCTTCCCACGTAGAAGTGAAGCAAGTTCACTAAACTGCCATTGTTGCAATGCATTTCGACGATTCCAGTTGATGTGCGAAAAAATCCTTCTTTTCGATCACCAAAAATCACTTGTACATTTCGACTCAAATTTTTCATGTCAAAGAATTGAAAGTAGTCCCACGAAAGGTGCAATGAAGACACATTTATTGAATCAATTATTGGCACAGATTTAAAGGAATTGTTTTTGATTCGTAGAGTTTGTAAGTGTTGGTTATTGACGAACACACTCTCTATTCTTTTAATAAAATTGCTGTCCAAGTCAACATAATGTAAATTTGATAAATTGCTAAACGCCACTTCTTCTATAATCCTTATGACATTGTGCGATAAATAAATACTTTTGAGTTTTTTTGCCGCTTCAAAACTGCTCGATTCAATCTTTTCTAAATGATTATATGAGAAATCGATCGTTGTGATTTCAGGCGTTTTCGAAAAAATCCGCATTGGAATTTGATTCAGGTGATTGTGAGTACAATTTAATATCTCTAAATTCTGATGCTGTAAGTCGAACGAATCAAGAGACTTATATCCAGAGTAAGAAATGTCCAGAGATGACAACTGCTTGTAGCTTTTAACCGAAACTAAAACTTTTTTCACTTCACATTGTTCGATTTTTAAGTGTGTTACACCGAAATCGGTGAAGGGCACATTAAATATTCGCGAAAATCTCAAGTCAAAACAATTACTGTCATTATCCGATTCGAATGTTTGCTTGCAGTAGAATTTTTTTAAATTTTTATTGTCAGTCTTAACGAAACAAAACCAATTGTCAAATGCTTTGGAAACACAGATGAAAATCAAAAAAACGAAGCACTCTGAGTGGAATAAATCCATGTTCATGCCTTTGGCTACGTTCTTGCGACTGCGTTAGAATTGAATGTTTAATTTTATGGTTCTTTTGAGGAGCCTAAATGAACAAGTGAATGTGATTATCAGTAACCAACAATTTCATGTGCCCATGTGTGTTATCTCCTTTAACTTTACAATAAAGCCAATGCAATATGTACAAATTTGTTTCACTGAATAACAGCATTTTTTTTGCTCACAGCAAACAAATGATAGCGAATGAAATGTGATTCATTAAATTCATAAATGGGATTTTAATATATAATCAAAAGCGGTCACCTTTGCCCTCGGCATGCAAATGTGTATTGTGCTAAAAGAGTCCGAAACCGATAATCAAAATCATTTGCTCATTTAATCATAACGCTCATAAAATTAAACATTTTTCAACAAATCAGTTGAAAAACGAAACCAAAGCGTGAACATGAATTTAATTCGCTTGAAATGCTTGGTCGTTTTAATTCTATACCTAGTTTACTGCAAGGCAGTTGATCGATTATACGAATGGGATATTGATCACTGGTTCTGCACCGCAGTTAATCGCATCAACAGTGGCTACCATGAATTTTACTGCAAACTAGCATCTAAATTGAGTAAAAATGAAAGTTGTTTCGATTTGACCGATCCGGGAGCATTTGGACGGAATAAGTTGATTGACATAGCTGGAGTGACAGAATTAAAGGTGCAACAGTGTGAAATTGAAAACGTTTTGGCTTGCATCTCCGAATTCAACTACAAAAATATAGAGACGTTGGACATTTCCGGCTCTGATTACAATTCTTTTAATTCATTCAATCTAAAACATGAACAATTGAAAAAGCTGAACGCAAGCCATAACAAATTCCGGCAAATGCCACGGTTTTTTCACGAGGTACCCGATTTTTTGGAGATCGACTTTTCCTTCAATCAACTGGACACAATTAAATACCTGAATTTCAACAAACTTAATCGACTTAGGCGAATTCATTTATCACATAATAAAATTTATATAATAGATCCTGGTGCATTTTCGAATTTAGTCAATGTCGAATACATTGACCTTAGCTATAATGAATTATTGTATTTTAAAGCTAATTTTCACAATGACACACGCTTGAAAGTGTTGCATGTAGAAAAAAATAAGCCGCTTAAAACTTTGCCAATGTTGAATGTGGTTGTGGATGCAGTGCACTTGTCGTGGAAACATATCGAATCGTTTGACATGGAAAATTGGAAGCAGGACGTGCAAGTGGTGTTGAATAGTGGAGAAGAGGGATTGTTCCGTAAATCGATCGAAGTCACGGAAATCCATTGCAAATATCGAAGTCTAATAAACTTACATTTCATTCGAGTTGCAAGTGGTCGAGTCAAAAATCTGCACGATCTATTGCAGTGCTTGAGCTTTCAATCAGTCACAAATCTCGGTTTGTCTGGCACGAATCTGAAGCATTTAAATGAAGTTCAACTATTTAAAAACTTAAATATTCTTCTTTTAAGCAATACACAATTAACGGATTTCAATTTCACTGTAATCAAACATTTGCAGCGTTTAAGGATGCTAGATATATCTGAAAATCGATTGAAAACTCTGAAAAATGTTGAATATTTAAAATTTGAATATTTAGAGGAGTTCGATGTGTCGAACAATCAACTTGACAACATACCCGAAATAATACACCATCTTAATCCAACGATTGCTACTTTGAAACTTTCAAATAACTTTATCGGCCCGATAAATGCAACTACATTCGCCAAATTCGGCGATTTAAAAGTGCTGCATGTGAAAAATACCAGTTTATCATTCGTTGGTGATTTCAATCCATTTGATTTTAATGAGGAGCTCTTCTCTCTAGATATTTCATACAATCGATTGAAAAGTGGTAATATTAGAGCATTAACCAAGACCTTACGTCAATTGTCTGAATTCTTTGCTGTCGAATGTCGCATTGAAAACACCACAAAATTGGTGAAGCAATTTGGACCATCGCTTCAGGTGCTTAATTTATCCGGTAATTTATTTGAGGAAGTGAATGTCAGCACATTCAATCACACTGATTTGCATGAGCTGAATTTGACCCATTCGAATCTGACAACATTTGACATATCGAAAGGGCAATGGAAACTCAAGTTGATTGATATTTCTTTTAATTTATTGAAAAAATTGAACTTTTCATCGTATTCAGGTGCTATGAAACAGATGTTAACGCGAGAAAATGATTTAACTGAAATTGATGGACTCACTCGATCACACTTTCCGTTGTTGTCCATGGCGGACATTTCAAAAAATCGGTTTTCATGTGATTATTTAACAACGTTTGTGCCAAAATTGAGGCGAGAATGGCCAAAATTGGAATTCATTGGCGATCCATGGGATCAAAAACATGGTGACGATTGCCATCCCATCGTTCAAAGTACAGAAATCGATGGAATTACAGAAATGCCAGAAATAGAGCTTAGTACCGCTTTGATTTTAGAAAGTTCGACTGAAGTTCGAAAGAAAGCGAATGAATTTTCACCCCAATATTTGATCACAATTGGTGTATCAACGCTTTTCATTATTCTGTGCTCTGGGCTTATTTTTTGCAAACGATTTGGCAAGAAAAAGACGAGAACAATAAATGGATCGTCGGAAAATAGGAGAGAGGGAGAAGAAAGAGAAGCAATTGAAATGTCAATTTTATCGCCTGCAAGAAATGAAAGATTCGCATTACCAGATGAAAACATTTACGAAGAGATCAATTATTATCATGTACGAAACCATGAATATTATATAAGAAACGATGAATACAGCACAATCGAAGACGAAAGCTATATGAGAGAGTCTAGTTTGTATCATTTGTATGGATACATATAATGTTAAGCGTTCAGGAATGAAACGAAATGAATTGTTCTTTTATAAATTGTATAAATGAAGAGAGAATCAAATGCATTTTATGGCAGCAATTTTTTGACGTTGGCTGCAACAAATAAAACTCGTGAAATACGTTCATTATATGCGATTCCGCTGTTCTGTCTGTTTAATTGGAAATTGGTGAAATCTCATTACTATGACTTCTGGCTCATTGCCTTTGTTTTGCTCGTCATTGTCATATTATTCGAGTCTCACCAAACTTATTAATTCAATGTACCGAAACTATCGCTCCAAAAAATATTACTTCTTGGCGATTTTGTGGGATTTCAATTGAAACTCCAAATCTCTAATACGCGCTCTCTTTAATGGACCGTATACAAATTTGGCAATAAATCAAATGATTTCCTCTGTTTACTCACACAAATTATTATCATAAAATATTAACGTTTGGTAGCGCAATGAAAATCGGTAAACATGATGGTATATAAAGGCGAGTTCAACATTTCATCAGTTACGATTTGGATTCCGAACTAAGTGATAGTAAATATTCAACAATGAGAATCTTCCATACTTTGGCGATTTTGGTGGCAATGGTGTTAGTGTTGGGTGTGGTTAGTGGAAGTCCACAAGAAGGTGGGCAACGTATGCAAAGAGGCAGTGGCCCACCGGAAGATGGACAACGGCCGCAAGGCGGTGGACAAGGCAGTGGTTTCGGTGGACAAGGTGGTAGTGTACAAGACAGTAGACAAAGAGGCCGACGAGGAGGCAAACGTGGACAGGAACAGCGAGGTGGCCAACAAGGTGGAGAACAATAAGGATAAAAGTCCAACATTCAATCTTTGCTTTGAATAAGATCGTCATTGGCCAATCAACTATAATAACCAACTGAACCGTCAAGAAGACTAAAAGTCTCCTTTAAATCTATGATTTCGAATCACATTGCACTAAATCAAAATTTTCACCATCGCAAACGATTATTCTGATAAAATTATAATGATCACAAAACGCACAATGTATCACAAATAAAACATGGGAAAATAAAAGGTTTGCATGGGATTTATTGTATTTTATTAATTTCTGTGAAACGAACTTTTCCATTGAAAAAGACAGGGCAACGGATAGCTAATTTAAAATGCGAATTTTGGGCGTCTGTAAAAAAAAAGGTCAGTAATTCTTATGTTTGATGAATGAAATAAATCACTTGCGATTAATCGTTGAATTGGATTTTACTCGTGTGATGGTGGACAGATTGAATTTTATTGAGTGAATTAGTGTAGTCAACCTTTTCTTCATAAATGTGTTCATCTATTGCTCATGTGCTGCGCTCGAATTATCTTTGCACTTTGATTCCATTTCAACTGGTATTAAACTTATCAAGTCTATGTTGTGACCTCGATTCTAATATATTTGCAAAACCCATTTTGCGAAAACGATGTTGGTTCAATCATGGTTGGTAACGGATTAATGGTCATCTTTTTCAATTTTGCCAATTACAGTTAAACGTGAAACGTAGTTTCAAAACAATTGGCTTCGTTTATTCTTCAATTTCATAAATTGCACGGTCGCAATCATTATCGCAGGTCAATAAAAAGGCACTTTTGTGTTATGGATCATTTAATGTGATTAGATTGTTTGTTGTCAAAATTGATTCTAATTCGAAAATAAACACTTATATGCACAGAGTTCGCGCTTAGCGCTAATATTAAAAAGCTTCGCTTAGAAAATTAGCTATCATTACCTGTCCACATACACTATGTTTATGCTAGAATTAGAATGGATTTTGACAAACACAATACAACACATTAAACGAACTATACAAAAAGTTTTTATACTCCATGGAAATCTAAACAAGATCAGTGTAGAAAATAAACGAGCTGTAATAAATAAAATTGAAAAACTAACGAACAAAATTAACTAACAATCAATTGGAATTTAGAACAATCGGCAACAATGGAGAACGTCTTTTGGTTTTTGGCTTTATTTTCGTTCGTGTTATTGTTAGCATTACTCATGTTTGTCTTGTATTCGGATAGCTGCTCCAATCTTGATCATCTTCATTACTATGAAAGTCATAATGACGATTTTCGGGAACTTTTTTGTCTTCTTATTATCAACTTGTTTTTTTATCAAGCATAATTTTTCGTTAATAGTTCGTCATTGTTCAAAGTCGA